GGGGGGGGGGGGGGGGGGGGGGGGGGGGGGGGGGGGGGGGAGGGGGGGGGGGGGGGGGGGGGGGGGGGGGGGGGGGGGGGGGGGGGGGGAGAGGGGGAGAGAGGGAGAGAGAGGGAGAGGGGGGGGGGGAGGGGGGGAGGGAGAGAGCCTTGGTAGTACAGTGGTCTAAGGCACCCTGTTATTAAGCTGGTTATTAAGACCAGCTGCCTGCAATTACTGCAGGTTCGAATCTCGCCAAGGCTCAAGGTTGACTCAGCCTTCCATCCTTTCTAAGGTAGGTAAATTGAGGACCCAGTTGTGGGGGCAATAAGCTGACTTTGTATAAATATACAAAAGGATGAAGGCTATTGCTGAGCACATTGTAAGCCGCCCTGAGTCTCCGGAGAAGGGCGGCATATAAGTCAAATTAAAAAGAGAGAGAGAGAGAGAGAGAGAGAGGGAGAGGGAGGGAGAGAGAGAGAGAGAGGGAGGGAGGGAGAGAGAGAATATGTGTGTCTCCTCTCTGTGGGTAAACTTTATGTAGATTCCCCTAAAGTAATTGCATAAATGTACAGACAAATGCAGTTATATAGACAGACAGCTGCGTATACATATTCTGATTGGGGCTGTTGTTCTAAGAAGGAGCAGACTTGATTCATGAATTCGGCTGGTTAGTGTAATCACACAACAAGGCTTTGCTTTAAAAAAAAAAACTAAGCAGGTCCTTATAGCTCCTGCAAGGAATACAAACGGGCCCATCTTTTTATCTTTCCTATCCTTTTCATCTTTATTATCACTCTTGTTAACAACACCAGCGAGGCTTGATACATATATCTCGTTTAAATGCAGTCAACCATGGAGCCACTGCAGTTGGTTGCTACAGACGTATTAATTAATTTATTCTCCCGGCAGTAAAATATTGCTGTGTCTCCCTCTGCTATCTACCAAGTCATATAAAAATTAGATTTTTTTTTTTAAAAAACCTCTTCTGCAGTTCATTAGGCTTTACCTATAAGTTTTCCGTTTCAAATGCTTTGCTTTAAAACTAATTACTCGTATTCTATTTATTTCCCTGTCCCAAAGTATCAGAAGGATTCAAGGGTAGCATGGGTGGCATATGTTGGTAAACACTGCTAATTATGCTTGCGCTGTCTTTATGGAGTATTTATGAACAATGCTTATAAAAGTGAAGAAAATACTCTGTTAAAAAAAAAATAAGTAAGCATATTGATTGTTATGGCATGCATCACTTTAAAAGCATAACATCCAGGGGTGAAATCCAGCAGGTTCTGACAGGTTCTGGAGAACCGGTAGCGGAAATTTTGAGCAGTTCGGAGAACCGGCAAATACCACCTCTCACTGGCCCCAGAGTGGGGTGGGATTGGAGATTTTGCAATATCCTTCCCCCAGGAGTGGGGAGGGAATGGAGATTTTGCAGTATCCTTCCCCTGCCACACCCACCAAGCCATGCCCACCAAGCCACACCATGCCCACCAAGTCACTTAGGGCTTAGCCCCACTTAGGGCTAAGAGAAAGGGACTGGCTCAAGGTCACCCCGTGAGGCTTTGCATCTAAGGCAACACTGGAACTCGCGGTCTTCCGGTTCTTTAGTTGTTCGTAGGTGGGCTAAAATTTAACTCAGCTTCTGACACAACAGAAGGCATGTGGTGATATTCTACGGCAGAGGTCCTCAAACTTGGCAGCTTTAAGACTTATGGACTTCAACTCCCAGAATTCTCCAGCCAGCCGGCTATGCTGGCTGGCGAATTCTGGGAGTTGAAGTCCACCAGTCTTAAAGCTGCCAAGTTTGAAGGCCTCTGTTCTACGGGTTTTCACCTTGACTTTTTCCCAATGTCTGTCAATCATTCCTCCTCCTCCAGTGAGCTTAATATGAGTTATTTCTGGTTAAGACGCTGGGGCTCAGGATCTCCATTCTTGACACCTGTGAATCAAGCTTGCCTGCCTTTAGTTATGACTAAAGTTGAGTTGAGTTCTTCTTTCCCTATAAAGGTCCCTGGGTGTGAATACAATCTTGCTTTAGGCCTTTCAGACTGAACAGCCGTATTTAGAACAGGTACATCCGACCTGCGGCCCACAGGCTGCATGTAACCCCAGACAGCTGGCAATAGGGTCTCACAAAATAATAAAAATCTTTTAAAAGTAAAGGAAGTTTGTTATTTATATACATTAACTGTATTACATACTTAATAAGCGGCCCAAGACAATTCCTGTTCACCCAGTGAGGCCCAGGCAAGCCAAAAGGTTGGACACCCATGGTCCATATGGTACTATATCACTGCAATTCTATGTAGAATAATCAGAGAGCAAGCCCCAGGGACGTGAACAAACTTTGTACCATAACTATCTTGTCTTACTGAAAGGATGGGGCTGCTTTCTGAGTGATAAGCCCAGATTGCATTGTTGAGTTAGGAGCAAAGACTCCTTAAGTTTAGTGGATTTTGCTTCTGAGTAGGCACTTACAGGACTGCATAGATTCAACTGGCAGCATAATAATAATAATAACTAAGGTGTAGTTAGGAACTTTGTTTATCCCCAAGTCTGTCTTCTGCTATGGGCTACAAGGTTAATAGAGAAAGGAGCGTGTAGGTGCCTAAGATTATTTTCTTATTCTCCCCACCAATCCACCCCATACACACTGGACGTTTGGAAGAATGCAGACAAAATTAAGCATACTTCCAATTTTAACGGGCAAGTTAAAACCATCTGTTTAACCCTTTGAAACAAACATCCATTTCATATACATTGTACATCACTTCCCATCGTTGCCATCTCGAAGCAGCGTACAAATTATTCTTTCATCCATTATGAATGTACTCCACTGATCCCCACTACCCCACCTTTTCTTCCTTCCTAGGGTAATGCAAATTCCAGGATTAAATTTCACTAAAGTGGGATGGGGGCTAATGTTTTTAAAACTGTAGTTGGTTGGTGTCGATTACTGTGATTAACAAGACTACAGTACTGCTATTTAATTTTTTTGTATAACTATTTAGCTGTGACATGGTCAAAGAAAATTAGTTTAGTATTTGCATACATTCACATGTCCCTTTAAGAACCATCATCATAATCATCATCATCATCTTTGTATTCATACAGCCCACCCTTAATTGTGCCTTATTCCTATCTTCTCTTTGAAAATGGTTATGTATGATTACCAAATGACTTTAGCCATTGCTTATTGAGCAAAGGAATCTGAAGTATATATGTGTATATAATTTTTGGAGCAACCTAAATGTCAACTTTATTGTATTTTCCATTTTCTCCACAGGCTCTCCGCTCTTTCCAAAATGCCAAAGAAGCAGAAGGAGACTCCTTGCGCTGTCCTTTTAATGTCACCACTGGATCAAAGGCTGAAAGCTGAGTCCTGGGTTTTCCAAAGAGCTCAAACCCAAGATGTGCCAACACTAAGCAAATCAATGCTCCTCATAAGACCCCCTTACATTTCAGAAGTGCCCTAGACAGTATTTCAATTTTCTTTTCTGCCCTGAACACGTTACAAATTATCAGCAGTTAGACCTGTGGAATTCAATTTGGGGTTGTCAAAGCACAAGGATGAGAGGATTGGACTAGCTGTCCCTGTAATTGCCCCCCCTCTTTTCTGATTGATGGACTGCTTCTTCCACTTCTTCCACAGCTCAACACATCTATAGTAAGTTGGGGACTGCTTATTGCAAGGCAGATCGATGGGGGGGGGGTAGAGTAGTATTCACGGCAGGGCAAACCGTATTATAGCCGCACTTCCAAAGAGCAGCTGGTGTTACAGGGGTTAACATTAAAATATTTCCTTCATTGCATAAGTTTCTGGGGTTTTTTTTAAAATCCATTTTTGCCTCTCATCCCAGCAGAAGCTGCCACCTGTTTCTGCTTCTGTATGGGGGGGGTCCCCCAAAATAAACTTCCATTTAGATTTATTTATTTATTTATTTATTTATTTATTTATTTATTTATTTATTTATTTATTTATTTATTTAGATTTATATGCCGCCCTTCTCCGGAGACTCAGGACGGCTTATAATGCGTTAAGCAATAGCCTTCATACTTTTGTATATTTGATACAAAGTCAGCTTATTGCCCCCCACAAACTGGGTCCTCATTTTATCTACCTTAGAAAGGATGGAAGGCCGAGTCAATCTTGAGCCTGGTGAGAATTGAACTCGCAGTAATTGCAGGCAGCTGGCAGCTAAATACTACCTTTAACAGTAGCATTAGTCTGCTGCAGCCACTCAGGCTCTGAGATGAAAGTGAGCATGACAAAATGTAATATGAAGAGAAAGGAGAATCAGGTCGTTTTTAAAATTGTGATTCTTCTAAAAATTCTAAATGTACCATTAGATATCCTGACTTCAGAATACCTAAAAACAAGCACAAAGAATGCTTTTGACCTAATAGACACAGCCCTTTAGTCTCTGCACTAATAGTCCGCTAGGCTTAAACAATCTTTAAGCAGAAGCTTTGCCTTAAAGGTAAGCTCTCCCTTTGGCTCTCTTTGGGGAACATTTCTATTAAAAATGTGACTGTGAAGACTCTTCAGAGATCAAAACCACAAACTCTTATTGTCCCCCTCTTGGGGATTTTCCACCCCAGCAAAAAGTGCCTTAATGAGCACCCTGTCTTTTTCTCCCCCCCCCTCTTCTTCCCCAGAAAGCAGAATTACTCCTAGCAATTCTAGAGATGGGGTGGGCGGGATGGGCACCAGAGACATATACTTTCCGCTTCCTAATGAATTCATTTTAAAGCCGGAGCTATGAAATACACCCCTACATAAAAAGAAGCAGCAGCCCAGCCGGGCTCAGGAAACAATACGCATTTTTACTGCTAGCAACAATTTGTCCAACCACTCACTGGTAATAAATAAGTTTTATCTATTTGGATGAACGCTTAAGCATCTTTGGAACCGAGCATTCCTGCTTCAAGGTGAACCGACACACAATTTTCTACAGAATTTATGCTACTATATACCGTTCAGATGTGTTGGCCAGGGTCCAGGGTCCTACTGATTTCCGCGCGGTCTTTAGCCTCCTTGTTGTTTTCTGGGCTGTCCTCAGCTGCCACATGCCTCAAAGTGAACCCGAGAGGAAGCGGTGTTTGGGTGGTAACTTTTACTCCCATCTCGGGAGGGTGAAATTAAAGTGGAAGCTGCAGACACAGGGTAAGGTTAAGTTTGTTCATGAAATCTGCATCCTGGGGAGGCCAAAAAGCAAAGCCTCCAGATGAGTTTCCACGGCTGTGAATAAGAGCTCCTGGCGGATCAGGCGGAGTGCCTCTGCTCGCATTTACTGTATTTATTCGATTTTTTTTTTCTCAGTGAGAAACTTGAAAGCAAGACCTGCGGTGGAAGTTGCTGGCCCTCGCTATGTTTACTTGGAAGTAACTCACCCAGAATTCTATGAGGCCTGTGAGGCTATTCCCAGGTTTGCCAGTATGAATCTGCCGGTGATAATAATGACAGTAAAAGGGTGGGTTATATATAAAGAGAGCACAGCTCTTGTGGAGGCTCAGTGCTCAGTGAACATTAACAGATCTAGCAAGAGCTCTGCATGAGAAGACGGTCCTTTCTCTCTTTCTCTCTCTCTCTCTCTCTCTCTCTCTTTCACCCTCCCCTCCTCCAGATCAGGACCAGAGTGCAAGGACAGTAGCTGGGCCTAGCCCTCTTCTTGAGCTGATGGCTTGATGCAAGCTATTCACAAAAGCTTTCCCATTTGCAAAACTTGCTCCAAATAGCTATGTTGGGTTAAGGCAGGGGTCCCCAACCCAGAGTCTGGAATGGTACTACGGGCCCACGGCATACCAGAAACCTGGATGGATGGGACTTCGCACAAGCGAAGTCCCATCCATGGGATGCAGGCAGCACCTGATACCATGCCCCTTCTGGGCCATGGGGGTGAGGGAACTCTCTACAGAACCAGTCCCTGTTGCCCAAAAGGTAGGGGACTGTTGGGTTAAGGTCCTGGCAAGGAAAAAAAAAAGAGAGAGCTCCTAAACTACCCTAGTCTAAAATTTAAGCCACCAGCTCCTGTTTCAGTCCTTTCCAGATTCTTAAGTAGAATAAACCAGGAAATCTTTTCCTGCCAAAGTTGCTGGACCAGCACCTTGCTGAAAATGTCAAGATTTTGTGTCACTTATCCCGAGCCTTATTTAGGGCTGAGCTGCAGAGAAAGGTTTGTTTTTTTTTTGAAAGGGAAAAAAAGCAACAAGTTTCCCATGGAGAGGGAAAGCTCAATGAAATGGGCTGAACCCTACCAAGCTGTCAAAGTGCAGAAGTAAGTCCTTACCTTAAAAAGGAACTAGAGACCTTCGAGGAAGGATATCATCTTCTTTTACCTCTATGTTCATTTAATATTTTAAACTGTTGATTCACCCCTCCTTCCAACTCCTGTAGAGATTCCTATTAATTTTACACACGCATATGTTTTGCAGCCTCATCCTATAGTTTAAAGTATTTTTCCCTGGAGGGGGTGGGTTTTTTTTTTCTTTCGAATTCTGAAATAGTCCTTCCAGCTGTTGGAGAGGCTGTTTTAACACCGCTCCTGGTTGTGGGTACTGATTAAGATGCTTTTAGAGTAAATGAGCAGATGCTGGCAGAAGGATCTTGCGCACACCACTTAAGGTACTATTTGCCCAAGGGATATTTTATCAATTAACATTTCAGCCAGTAAAATCAAAACGTTAGGGATGCCTTTTTCTTTTCTTTTTCTTTTTTTTGTTGAAGCCCAAAGCTCTTAACTTTCTGGATCCCGGTGACTCTTAGATTCCCCTTGCCACACAGATAGGTTTTCCAGGCATTGGCAGCAGGTCAGATCATACAGGGGCTGGGTGGGTGAGGAAGAAGGGATTCTCCCCCAAATCAATTGCCAGACTTTAATATTTGGTCTGCTACAATCACTTTCATTCCCATGAATGCAGATTTGTTTCTTCAAGAAAGCCCCCCATTCCTGTGATCTGGGCAAAACGGAAGCTGGGAGAAAAAGTGAGCACAGAGCCCCCATACACGGACTAGGAGGGGGTCAAACTGGGGCAGAATCCCACAGGAGGAATTGCTGCCTTGACTTTCCTTTAAGGATATCCCGAGGCCATTATGGGTGACTCTCTTCGTGTTCAGGTGCTGTGCATGTTCAAGGGCCCTGGTAGCGCAGCAGACTAAAGCACTGTTGTTAACATCAGCTGCCTGCAATTACTGCAAGTTCAAATCTCACCAGGCTCAAGGTTGACTCAGCCTTCCATCCTTTCTAAGGTAGGTAAAAAGAGGACCCGGACTGTGGGGGCAATAAGCTGACTTTGTATAAATATACAAAAGTATGAAGGCTATTGCTTAACGCATTGTAAGCCGCCCTGAGTCTCCGGAGAAGGGCGGCATATAAATCAAATCAAAAAAAAGGGGGGGGGGGACGCATTGGTTTCCTCTCTTCTACAACTCGGGGAGGGCCCCCAAAGACCTCCAAGCTGGGCAACGCCACTCCGTTTAAGCTCCAGGCTCGTAGAGAAACAGCGGAAGGAATGGCATGCCAGACTAATTAAAAAGAATAATGCAGGGGACTCTTGGTCACATCCTATCTATATTTCTTTCTTTCCCACATTTACATCGCACAGCGCTCCTAGCAAACCCGACAGCCGCAGCTTTATCTAACGTCTTTCTACATTTAGAGACATCAATGGCTGGTAGGTTTCAATTGTGGCATATGTTTTGTTACCCTCCCACACACACCAATTAGGGATCAGACTTTTTTTCTAAAATATATCTTTCCAAGAACAGGACGCGCAAGGATTCCATCCTCCCTCCCCCACCCTCAATATATTCTCATTAAAGCACTTTTAACAACCGGGATAAATTTCCTCTGCTTATCTTCTTGGATTGCCTGATGCTCCCCAGGCTGCTTCTCTATTTTAACAACATGGTTTATGTATCTATTACTTATTTTAAAAAGGAAAATATATTCTCTACATAAGCCTCCAAAGGTTTCATTATCTTTATAAAAAGCCCTACTGTACTAACCTTTTTTGATTCCTCCTCATTCGGTAATAAATCACCAAGTGGAGATTTGAGCCATTTTATTTATTATCAGAAATCACATAATAATACATTCAATTTATGGTCATCTTTATCATTATTATGAAAGGGGAAAAAAAAGAAAAGAATACATGACTATATAAAGCCGGGGGAAACGTGCTATGACAGGCATTTGCATAGGTCCTACGTATAATATGCTTGAGGTAAGAAACAATTTACATTGGGACTCTACCGCGAGCGATAGCTATGTAATAACAGCGAGAAATCCACTAGCCGGAAGGACCGAGGGAGACGTCGGACACACACACACACACCGGCGACTAACACAAGACGAACAAAATCGACACAGAAGAATACTTGAGTTCAGTCAGAAAGAGAATATTGCATATATTTCAGCGCCTTCGTTTTTAGTGGATCGGCCCCTCCCTCCCTCCCTCCCTCATTCCATCCCACCCCACCCCACCCCCTTCCTCCTTCAAATGGGGAAGTAGGGATTGCCTTGGATCCTCAGGAGCACAGCCTGGGTTTAACTTTGTCTGTGTGTGTGTGTGTGCTGATGTCTGAGGTTTCCAAGCGCAGGGAGAGCTCAACTGCCTTGGGGCCGTGAAATAGCATATTAAACAAGGCAGCCAGTGCCCCTTATGGGCACGGCCTCCTTCTTCTCCCTCCCCGGATGACAGGATTTACCTAATCGAGCCTGCTTACACCGACTGTAAGCCGAGGGCGCCTGGTAAAGCCCCACACTTTCAAATACCTTTCCCCAGCCCACCCTCCCCGCGACGGCGAGTTAACATTAGCCCCGGGTTGCAAGGCGTCGCGAGCTGGGCGGGAGACCCGGGATGGTTAGGATTGCGACGGCGGCTTCCTCGAGATAATAAATCTAGGGTAATATTTGTAAGTCCGATG